GTTGAAGAGAATATACAAGCTCCAGAGAATGAACATATTATAGAAACTGAAGTACCACAAATAGTTAACATAAAGGAAAGGTCTTTTGACTTTGATTTTCAAATGCCATTGGAAAATGAGGGAGAATATTTTGGTAATGACCAAGATGTGGAAGAAAATGTTGATCAAGAATTTGCTGATGAAGAAATTTCTGTGCTTCAAGAATCAGTTGTTGAGGCTTTAAATGACATAGTACCAGATGTCCTGGAGACACAAGAAGATTCAACTTCCAAAGATTATTGCTCTGAACCTCTCTATGATGGTTGTTCCCAAAGACTTGGCAGCATCCTACTTATCATCTGTAGCCTCAGCATTAGATTCAAACTGCCTGATGAAGCTCTAAACCATGTAATCAACCTTTTGTGCCTTGTTTTACCTCCTGCCAACACAATGATTAAAAGTATGTATGCCCTGAAAGATTACCTGAAAAAGTTTGTTAGTTTTCCTTCCATTCACTTTGTATGTTCGTGGTGTGGAACTCATGTTGCTAAAGAAGATAAAGTTTGCAAAAATAATCACTGTTTGAAAGATCTTACACAATCAGGAGCCATTGGCTATTTCATTCAACATTCCATTATTGACCAGCTGGCACTTATGTGCAAAAGAGAGTCTTGGCTTAAGAAAGTACAAACACACAGATTCTTTCACTACAGCAACAATAAAGAAACAAACATTTCTGATGTTTATGATGGATCAAATTATAAAACAGCATTTAGAAGTGGTTTCCTTGATAATTCTAATTCTTTATCATTTTCATTCAATACTGATGGTGTTCAAATATTTAAAAGTTCCACCCTGTCTATGTGGCCGGTTTACATGCTTGTGAATGAATTACCACCAACAGATAGGAAACTAAAGGAAAACATTATCTATTATGGATAGGATAAAAAAAACCGCAAATGTGGACTTACTTAAAACCTCTGCATGAGGAGATGACTAAATTAGAGGATGGTGTTCTGATGAGTGACAAACATGGAAATGAATTTTCAATGAAAGCCACAGTGTTAAATTGTGTCTGTGATCTTCCTGCAAGATGTATGGTTAGTAACAGCATGCAATTTAATGGAAAGTATGGATTCTGGTTCTGCCATCAGCCAGGACAGACATACACCACTAACAAAGGAGGCCACGTTCACATATACCCATTTGAAGAAGACAATCCCAAAGGTCCACCTAGAACTGCTGAAAATCTACAAGAAGACGTAAATAATGTTGTAAAGAACATTCATGAACGGAAATCAGATTTTGTAGTGAGAGGAATAAAGGGCCCTTTTTGGTTCATGTTTATGAGCCAATTCGATGTGATCCATGGATTTGTTGTGGATTACATGCACGGGATTTGTGCAGGTGTAATGAAGATGTTGCTAACTTTCTGGTTTGATAAACAACACAAGGATGAAAAGTTTTCACCCTTAGCAAACAAGGCTCTAGTCAGTGACAGACTGAAGTCAATTCAACCAAATTTGCAAATAACCAGATCACCCAGAAGTTTAGATGACATGCCACACTGGAAAACAGCAGAATTTCGTAATTTTCTCTTTCTTTGGAGTTTGCCAGTCGTTGACAACATTTTGCCCAGAGACTACTACTTGCATTTTTCTTTGTTCCGGAAAATTGAAGGTTTCTGAAAATAGTCATACTGTATGATCATGATGATACAACATAGGACAATTTTTTTTAACAATTTATGCATATTAAAATATAGAAATAGATGAACAATTTAAACTAAAATAAACGCATTGTCATGTTGAAAGAGACTCCGGAAAATTGAAGGTTTCTGAAAATAGTCATACTGTATGATCATGATCATGATACAACATCAGACAATTTTTTTACCAATTCATGCATATTAAAATATAGAAATAGATGAACAATTTAAACTAAAATAAACGTATTGTCATGTTGAATCATTACGTGTTTCTTAAAAAAGTCAGGAAATAAATATATATATTTTCAATGCAAAATATTGCATATTTTTTGATGACATGTTCATATAGCTTACATGAAGTGAATATAAGAAATGCAAAGAAAACAAGCAAATTCAAAGAATTGAGGTCCCCCGCTTTCGGTGTCTTCGTGGGTGAGATGTTATTTTTTATGACATATTGTTTGTAATATGAACATCCTATCAAATGACATTTATTTAGAAAGTAACACTGAAGTTGATTTTTTTAAAGGATGAAAACCCTAATCCTGACCGTTAAAAAGTTATGACCAAAGTAAAAAGTTTTTTAAAAGTAGGTCAACTCCAAGGTCAACATCAAAGGGTCAAAATTGTTGATATCCCATGAAAGATTTTCTCACAAGGATTACATATGTGAAATATGAAAACCCTAGCCCTTACTGTTCAGTTTTTTCATAAGTACATAAATCTCCAAGGTCAAAAGGTCAAGTTGTTGGTGTCCAATGAAATGTTTAGCCACAAGGAATACATATGTGAAATATGAAAGTCCTAGTTTCTACTGTTTAAAAGTTGTGACCAAGGTCATTTTTTTTAAAGTAGTTAAAACTCCAAGGTCAAGGTCAAAGGGTCAAAGTTTTTGGTATCCAATGAAAATATCTTCTCACAAGGATTACATATGTGAAGTATGAAAGCTTTAGTTCTAACAGTTCAAAAGTTATGGTCAAAGTTAAAGTTTTTTTTACAAGTACGTAAATCTCCAAGGTGAAGGTCAAAAGGTCAAGGTTGTTGTAATCCGATGAAAGGTCTTGCCACAAACAAAACATATGTGAAATATAGAAGTCCTAATATCTACTATTCAAAAGTTATGACCAAAGTAAAAGTTTTGAATTTTTGTGTTAAAGTGGGTCCAACTCCAAGGTCAAGGTCAAAAGGTCAAATTTGGTGGTACTCAAAGAAAGGTCTTGTCACAAGAAATACACAAGTGAAATATGAAAGTCATAGCTCCACTAAATCAAAATTTAAGGGCAAGGTTAAAGTTTTTGTGACGGACGGACAGACTGACGGACAGACGAATGAGATTTAATGTCCCCTCGCTTTCGCGAAAGCGGGGGACAAAAAGGATACAATATAAAGAAAAAAAAAGCCCACCCACCTGCAAATGAAAAAAATATATTTCATTGTTTAAAAAAGACATTATATAAGGAATTGTAAGTGCATGTGTATTGTTCAAGATAAGAATTACTGTTTGAATTGAATTAAAGTGTTATCGAATTAAAATATTATAAGTAGCCAAATTTCCAGTCATCTTTAGTAGTTTTTAGAAACTGCTAGTTTGACTGCTTAAGTTGTTCAATGCTGAACTGCTTACACAAATTCTTAGCAGTTTTTAAACAGTCTGTAAGCAGTTTTAAGGAATGCTAAGACAAAGACTGTTAAGAACTGCCTAAAAACTGCCAAAAAACCTCCCGACTCATGTAAAGGTCTTACTTCCAAATATGTAGTATTACCTGTAAATCAAACAGCGGCACCTGAACTTTTCAGTGGAAGCACTAGTGACACTACATCAGGCCCCATTTCTGCACCATCATCCAGTTCTCCGACAGACATAGTCAACTATCTTCGTGCTCCATACCTAAGTGAAGGACAGATCTCTGTGATCAGATCCCAACTACAAAATTCAAGTGTAAATGAAATTCACAATCGTAAATGGGATTTCGAAATGATTCAGTTAGCACTATCAATTTGGACAAGAAGCCCTATGTCTTATGAACAGCTAAGTTGTTCGGGAAAACTACTGTTACCTTCAGTGAAAACTCTATCTAGGTACAAAAAACTCTGTCCATCAATCCCCGGGTGTCAATGATGAGGTATTTCGATGGATGTTGACAGACTACCTCAAGAAGGTTATTATGGTGGCCTTATACTTGACGAGATGGCCATTCAAGAGGACATCCAAATTTCGAAGAAAGGAGGATCCAGAACTTTTATTGGAATTCCAGATCTTGGAGCTGAGGGAAACCAATTGCAATCATCCAAGCATCAAATGGCCAACCATGTCATGCAATTCTTCTTCAATGGATTAACTGGCTTCTGCTTCTTAGTGGCACATTATCCCACCACACAAGCCAACGCTCCACAAATCTATTCCATGTTCTGGGATGTGGTGCAAGCATTAGAGAAGTGGGGGTTCCATGTAATATATACCTCCATGGACGGTGCTTCTAACAATCGCTCTTTCATAAACATGCACTTTCCTTCACCCTCCTCTACTATGGCAGCTTTCAAACCATTTTGTGCTTCTCATCCAGTTGTCTTTATTGCTGACCCATCACATCTTTTCAAGAAAATTAGAAACAATGTATTAAGCAGTGGAATATGTAAATGGCACACTAGGCTCCTTTTACTAAATGGGTATGAAATCACATGGAAAACTTTCATAGATGCATATGATTGGGACAAAACACATGGACTCGCCATTCATCACAAACTTTCCCATCAACATCTACACCTAAACTCTGCCGATAAAATGAGAAATCATCTAGCAGAGGAGTGCCTTAACGCTGATATGCTCCACCTCATGCAACAGTACCAGGAAAGTTTGGGTATTGTAAATCCATGTGTCTCTTAATTAAAAGGCCTTACCGGTAAATTAAATATAAACCTCAGGTATATTTTGATAAGTGGGTCAAAGGTCAAGGATAAGTGAACTGGAACACTTTTGTTGTACATTCTACAAAGCATAGACCTACCTCTTTAAGGTAAGTCACTCCTCAAGTTTGTTATATCAAGGATTTTTTGAGAAGTATATTTTGGAGAAGTACTCATAAAGTGTAACTCAAAATCGCAAAGAAAATACGGGGTCAGTGTGTATCCTACTGATCTACGGTACATTTAAGTTGACCTTTTTGCACTTAAATTTCATCTCTTTGGTTAATTACTTTAACCCTTATTATATTTGATTAGATGTAAGCATGGCAATAAATATAATCTTATTTTACGTAAAATAATTTGAATAATATTTAACATAAAATAAATCTTGCAAATCAATGTGCGTAAATTATTGATTGACCTTTTTGCTCTAAAAGATAACATATTTGGGGTATTAAAAAATTTAATAGGCAATAAAAATTTTTATTATATCAAACTTTTTACGACTTGAGTGCTGATCAGTCACAAGTATCGAGTAGTTTAAAATAATGAAAGAAAAAAGTGGGGTCAGTGATGCTAATTTTGACATTTTTGTCAAAATATGCAATTTTCAGGCTAAAAATGGTGTAAATTTGACCTTGACTTCTTTCATATATTTTCATTTTTTGGGAAAGTTTGTTGAGGAAATGTGTAAAACTTAGTCTAAAAATATTTAACTATATTCAAACGGAAAATATTCTCCAAGTAAAAGTATGTGAGGCTAAATTTCCATTACATTAAATTTTATAAATGTGCAGATTTGCAGAATTTTCTGCTAAATATCCTTCCGCCAAAAGAAATAGTCCCTCATAAATCTTGCTTCTTTGTGGATTTTTGAGCAGTTTTTTCATTGAATGTTAAGAAATTTACATTGTTGAATATAAATATGTCATAAAAATTGAATTTTGATAAATAGTTTTGAAGTAAAAGCTTCTGCGTGAACTTTTCTAAAAAGCTGAGGAGTGACTTACCTTAATATAAAAAGAAGTTGTATATTAGGATTGTTAATTTCTTCAAAAGGTTGGTCAAAGGTCAATTTGAATGATAAGTTAGGTCTAAAACCATGGTAAATTACAAAAGCCATAGTACATGTATTAAGCTATATATGTTCACAACATCAAATCCATACCACTTAAATACTTTTTGAGATATACACGTAAGGTGGGACATAAACAGACAGATGCAGGGTAAAGTGCTTTGCTCTGTAGGAAATAGCTTTTTTTACCTGCAATCCGCCAAAATACAGACTTGGATCACGAACTGCTCTGCATACATACTCTAGCTGTAAAATGAATATATCAATGAATAATTCATACCCAATGTAAACATTACTGAGTATACCTGTTGTTAATAATACTAATTTGACCATTATAATTATCCTACTAAATAAAAATCTATTGGTCTCTTAAGTCAAATTTTACTTTTGAATTAAGATCTTCTTACTTTTTTACCATATGACAATGAAATGAGACTCGGATGTCAAAATTTCAAATGAATATTATAACTTCATATTAGACCACTTAATTATTATACCATTGTCAATTTTTCATATAAAAATTTCACAAATATATAAACATTTTTTTTTCTCTAATAAATAATTCTGATAATCAAAAAATAAAACCTTCATGCAATGGTTAGATTAGAATATCATAAATAATTGCATTTTTTTCAAAAGAAATATGTGAAATAAAACTGAAAATTCATATATATTCTTTGACAGGAGCCTAAGGTGGGGATTCAACAACATATTCAGATTAACTTAAATGGGGGGGATGCATACACCCCTTTGATATGCGCAGAGATTTACAAAATTGTTAGAAAAAATACCTGTTCAAAAATTTTTCGACTGACCATACTGATCTCATCAATTATCAGCAAGCTGCAGGTTCTGATACGGTCTTTGGTCTCATCTGCAATGACCTGTAGAAGATGTTGATTTGTATTCCGACCATCGCGCAGCCCTGCCCAGTGGTGCACTGTGGTAGCCGACTGAAACTGGAGTGCTGCCAAACCAGTGCTCGCTGTAACTGCGACAGCCCTGTCTTTTAGCGCTTTGACAATTTCTTTTATAAGAAAAGATTTGCTGGTACCTGCCTGGCCATGAATCAAACAGTTGTGGCCGCTCACTACTAATTGTAAAGCCTCGGACTGCTCTGCATTTAACATCGCTGACATGTTGAAATTATAAAAGCACCTTGCTATGTGTGCATGATTTTTCCCGCTAAACGTCACATTTCTATCAACCAATCAAATTTAAGTAGAGGGAATTCCCATTTACATTATAACATCAACTTTCGGCCTCCCTTCTCTAAGTTTTACCGAGTCGGTAGCAGTAGACTGAGTTTGAAGCGATATTTTAAAGATTAGAGAGGGTTTAATGTGGTTTGAGTTGGATTGCCCGAAAGTTGAGACATAGTTAAGGTAAGTACTCCAAGGAAAGGGTTGTATCTGTTTATTTTAAACATACTGTAGACTAAAAATCGAGGCGAGGTAGCTGAGCTGAAAAAAATCCATGATGGCTACCGTGTCCAACCTTGGTTATTATTATAGTAGGGAATTGTTTTTATTTATAAAGACTAAAAGGTTAAAAAAATCAAGCGCCTGTGGTACAAACCGAGGCCCCGTGTCACAGCAGGTGTTGCACGATAAAGATCCTTCCCTTCTCAAAGGCCGTAAGTGCCGAGCATAAGCCTAAATTTACAGCCCTTCACCGACAATGGTGACGTCTCCATATCAGTGAAATTTTCTGGAGAGGGACGTTAAACAGTATAAAATCAACAAGAGTAATTATAATGAGAGAATGTTGTTGACGTATAGTGTAACAATAGATATGTCTGTGGAAAGTGATAGCGACATTGATTCAGATGAAGAAAATGAACCCAGTTTCAATGTAACTATAAGGTAAAATAAGTATTTGTATAATAAGAATGTTCTGTAGATCTTTAGAGATCTATTTTCATAAATGCTTTCTTACACTTAAGACCAAACATCATGCAGAGGATGGAAGAAGAAACGCTGGAAGAAGAGATCGGGAAAGAGGAATGTGAGGGAGAAGTGGAGGAAGAAGAGAAACCTGAGGACTTTCACAATTCACTTATAACCTTACATAGATGTATAGTACTGAATGAGCTAGAGTCTTTAAAAATAGAAAATCTCACACTCACGGAGTTCCGATACCAAAACTAATCCTGCCTCAGAGGAAACCATCTTCAGAAGAATGCAGACATTAGGCACAAGAGGAGAGGAGATGGTTGAGGGAAGACATCCAAAACACGAACCTAATTACACAGATGGATCTTAAGATGGAGATGGATGACTTCAAAGACTTTGAATAGACTTTAGAGGACTTTTGTGAATATACTACTGCAGGACTTTGTGCGTGAATATTTCTGGACATTAGTGAATAATGGACAATATGGACATAATTATATAAATAATACTTATGTACATTCTTTTATTTATTGCATTTATTTTTGTATTTATAAATAATTTACATATATTTACAATGTATATCAATTTACACTGCATGTTTATTTTTGTACTTCATTGAAAATTATATATGTCTATTACTTGAAATTGATTACATGCTTAGTGTATAAGAAGCGTCTTTTGCAGTTGGCTTCTACCAATGTCAGCAATATGTGTAGAGTCAAAGGATATAAAATGCCTATTGGGAAGCGCACAGAGAGTGTTGGTTCAGAGTTAAATATATACTGGGTAAATATTTTATGTTATTAATTTTTTTTACAAATAACGCTAAATGAACCGGGTGTGACCGGTCGACAGGGGATGCTCACTCCTCCATGGCACCTGATCCCACCTCTGATGTTTCGGAGGTCCGTGTTTGCTCTGCTCTTATTTTGTATATTTGTTTAATAGATGGGTGTTGACTGTCACAAACTTTTGTATCATGAAGAAATATTAAAATTAAAGTAGAATGCAGTTCAATTTAGTCACTAGAAAAGTAGAACAGTAACGTAATTTTGTAAACAATATCCTTTTCAGTAATTTAATGTTAACATCCCAATTTTTGTTTTTGAATGCTTCTAAATATATTTCGCGAATGTATCCAAAAGCATATAGCATACAAGTGGTGTTCCCAGACTGTGCTGAACAGACGCCTTAATGGTGGTGGTGTTCAAATAACATCAGCTATCTTGGCATCATGGAACAGTTTCTATAAATTGCCTTGTTTGCAAGATTCCTGAGATTACGTTTTTTAAGAACTGTTAAATTCTCAAACCTTCAAGAGACCTATGTGGAACCCACAAGAAACTATTTTTGAAGAGATTAACAGATGGAAGTCTTTTATCAGATGGACTGCCAGAGTATTGTTGCTTTAGGTTTGTAGATTTGTAAATGATTTATGAATCAAAGTACTGAGACAGTACTGAAAGACGGGGTAAAAATTATCTTCATGCTAGATTTCACAAATGTGATTTTTTTTAACGATTTTTAATTAACATTCTAAAAACAAAACTATGAAAAATATACATTCACATTTTTCATTAAATTTGATTTGAAAAAAAATTTTAATAATTGCTCAGTCTGGACACCTTTCTGAACTTTTCCGAATTTCATCAGGTACGAACTTATAAATTTTCCGGAAGTAAACAATGGATGATGCGAACACAGTCATAGTGATACGCAGGATAGTACTTTGTCTACTAGTGTAAAGTAAAGTTAATATTTTTAGTTTTAAATTATCAAAATACTTAATTAGTTGAGTAAGAGAAAGGTTCATATCAATTTCATCAGTTTGAAACAAAATGTTTAAGTTTTGATCGAAACAATTTCTGCACTCTTTCGTATGCGTAGATTTAATTCATGTGTTCACAGGCAAAAGTGGCTCGCATGAACTTCATATGAAATTCGCATGAATATCGTGCGAATTCTTCGCATGAAAAGGAGACGAAAAGGACCACACATGATATTCGCATGAAAATATCATGCGATTTTGACATGAAATTCGCACGAATATCATGCGAATAAAAATTCGCACGAAATTCATATGAATATTTTTGCTGCTTTCTTTACAGATTTTCATAGGAATTTCATGCGAATTTCATGTAAATATCATGATATATTCATATCAAATCCATTTGATGTAATTTATATATTTTCCTAGTATATTGGATTTTCAATTCTTTTAATCCATTTGATGAAAAGTATTAGGAAATTCTAATATTTAGATCTGTATATGAATATGTACAACTAATCTTCAACGTTTCACTGTTACTGTATTCAAAAAAATGCAATAAGTACAATCTCAAAATCTGATCCAGCAAATGACTTATTGAGCTTTATCTAAATCTTAATTTGAAACTGCTTAATTTTAACACATGCAGATTTTGAGGAAGCACCACTATGATTATCCAAGTTATTCTTTTGATGAACAAACAACTGGACACATTCTGTTTCTTAATCTTCTTTATTGAATGCTTCAATTCTTTTTAACATTCTCTGCTCAAAGGCCACCCATCTGTCTGGAGATTGTTTCATCTGCAAGAGAAAATAATTGTAATGAATACTGGGTACCGGTAAATGAAATACAGTCATGAATTTTACAACTGCATTTCCAAAGTCAATATTTTCCTTATTATCAAGATAACATAAAATATGAACAAAAAGTAGATATATAGCAATCTGATATCACCCCTAAGTTCAATTTGGTAAAAGGTTGAATTTATATTGCCTACATTGTAAATGATCTTTAAAAAATTAAAAAAAACATACATCATAAGTTATAAGGATTTCAAAATCATACATTATAAATCATAATTAAAAGTATAATTAAAATGTTTTTTAAGTATAAAATTATTGACAAAAAATGAAAACAATTTTCCTGCAAATGACTTTAAACTTTAAAACAATCTTGTGTCAGGTATCAATTAAACCTTGAGATAATTGTCTCTGTTTCATTGTCCTATATCTGATGATGCAATTTGTATCTGTTGCAAGGGAATTTAAAAGCAAAATTTACCTACCATTGCATCTATGTTCCTTCTGAACACACCCCAGAAATCTGTGGCTGTGGTAGCTGGATTTTTTCCTGAACAATTTGAGTCCATCAGCGAAAGATCTCTGTGAAGCAAAGAACAGAAATAAATCTAAAAATATTATTAAGACTAGTCATGAATTTTATATCTTCAAAGTTCAACTTTTTAAAGGAATAAGTTTGAAACTGTTTTACTATTTAAACCGTCATGGAAATATTATGCACTAATTTTGCCTCTGTTATCAAAGATTGTTGGGTTTATATTGTTTTTGTACTGTTATGTCCATCTTTCTGTCTTAATATGTTCCTTTAAACATATTACTTATGAGTGGGTGGGGCTAGCAGGCTTCATAATCCATAGGTGTATTTCATGTAACAAGAACTTTATTGGGGTACTATATTCTCCTTAAGAATGACAAAGCCATAATTCATCATATATATATGGAAGCATGCTCAGGTAATGTAGATTCAAGTTTCTTCAAATCATGACCCCCAGGAGTAGGGTGGGGCCAAAATGGCAGACCAAAGTTTTACATAGAAATATATAGGAAAATTCTTTAAAAATCTTCTTCTCAAGAATGACGAAGCCATAATTCATCATATTTATATGGAAGCATGTTCAGGTAGTGTGGATTCATGTTTGTTAAAATCATGACCCCCCGGGGTAGGGCGGGGCCAAAATGGCCAACCAAAGTTTTACATAGAAATATATAGGAAAATCCTTTAAAAATCTTCTTCTCAAGAATTACAAGGAAAATCCTTTAAAAATCTTCTTCTCAAGAATTACAAAGTCATAATTCATCATATTTATATGGAAGCATGTTCAGGTAGTGTGGATTCAAGTTTTTTTTCCCAATCATGACCACTAGGGGTAGGGCGGGGCCAAAATGACCGACCAAAGTTTTACATAGAAATATATAGGAAAATTCTTTAAAAATCTTCTTCTCAAGAATTACAAAGTCATAATTCATCATATTTATATGGAAGCATGTTCAGGTAGTGTGGATTCAAGTTTTTTTCCCAATCATGACCACTAGGGGTAGGGCGGGGCCAAAATGATGACCGACCAAAGTTTTTAAAGGTATATATTGGAAAATTCTTTTAAATCATTTGCTAAAAAATTACAAATCCGATTGGTCATGGGACTTCTGGCGACTAAATTGGGAGGTCCTTCGGA